CGAGAAAGAGAGAGTCGAAATGTGGCTTGGCTTCTCTTGCCGTGCTCTGCTCACCCACATTTTGCCATTCGGATTCGGATTCTCGTGTTGGATTTTGCTTGTTCTCTGTGAAATCAACATCCTATCCCATGGGCAGTTAGAGAGAGAGTCGAGGTAGGGTGGTCACGAGCTGTTTTCGACCTGCTGTCTGTGACTGCACTCTCCAAGAGCATTAGTACTTTTTGCTTCTCTCTTCTCGCTTCAAACGCAGTTTTACTTCATGGCAGCGCTATGGGAGGAGCAAAAGAGTGTATATCCTCCGTGTGCATTGTGTATATGCATGTAGATATGTGTGTAAGTACGTCTCATACACTTCAGACGACGTCCTTCAGGACGGATGTACCCGACTAACTTCGTCGGCTTCCCCTCCTCCCTCTAGTCAACAACTGATATCCGATGTTTTTCAGGACTTCACTTTTCCTCTCTCTGATCAACAATGTCATACTAAAGTTCTTTGGAGCTTGAGTCCCAGTTATCGCATATATTTTCAAGAATTAGAGATCAGCTTTTTATTCTGCCACTTTGCGACAGACTATCTTCGCGTGTAGAGCATTTGTCCTTGATCAAAGATCTCACCTCAGCGGGGCCGTAATTTCTTGCAAACACACCAGTCATAGCTTACGGAGGTGTGCTGCAACTTGTCTGTTTGGCTTTGAGCCAGAAAATTCTATAGCTTAAATTTTTTTGTCAGCAAATCCGCCTATCGGCGCTTTACAGCGTGCTTCTCTCCTTTTTTCCGACTATTTATGATTTCTGCTATTTGGAGGTATTTTCCACTACTTAGCAGTTCCCCCCCCCCCCCTTCCCTCCCTGTTATTAATCACGCCTACCTCCTAACCGTCCTCAGCGCATTTTCAGCTGTGCATTCCAACATTACCGCCCACGGGGGCTCGATGACGTCAGTCACTCGCTGCCGTAAGCGCTGGCTGCTCGCTTGGCGCCAGGTTAGCAGCGCGCAAGCTTCTCAACCGCGCCTTACCGCCTTCTTCTTCTGCCGCCGGCGAGCCGCTCACTTGAAGAGCCGCAACCATATTCTATCGTCTAGTGGAATCAATTGTTCCGGAGACGACGACGAGGAGGCACAGCGGAGAAGGGCGAGCGAGGGGGGGGGTGTGGATAGGGAGTAGAGAGAGACAGCAGCGGAGCGCGCTAGCGATGACGGTGGCGGTGGCGGCGGCGGCTCCTCGTCGACTCTCGGCGTCGTCGCACTTCTCTCGGCTCTCTGCTCGTTCAACAGCGTCGTTACGACTCGTCCGGGCCGTGTCTCGTCCGTCCGCCAGCTGTGTGCTCTCTTCGGCCGCAGCCACACCAACTGGAGGGTCACGCACGGCGATAATGTATCCCGGCTTCTCGCCCAATGCCCATCACAATCTTTGCCTTTTCGATTTCGGGAATTAATTTGCATATTGATCTGCCTTTTGCACAATTCCTCAGTGCGCGAATCTACTTCCACTGGCTAAGGTACCATTGTCTCATCACTCCACTTTCCACCTCTTCCCCCCCCCCTTACTAAAAGGAAAAACATTCCAGTTCACTACCACCAATCCAGCTCCTCACAATCCCACCTCCCTGAAATTGTACAGTGTCATTTTAGTGCTGACTTGGTTTTTTCTATAGTTCCCCTTCTCGCAACCAAGTGACTAATCCTTATAAGGCAAATAACTACTGATAAGGCTGTCTACGCTTACCAACTAGCTTACGACTTTCTTTGAACTGCATTATTCATACAGTGTTGAATTTTGCAGAAGTTCTAGCCATTCTAATCCTTCAAGTTTTGTAAGATCTCATTTCACTTTTTCGGCTCCACATTCTCATGATTTTTTTCCTTCTGCAAAATAATTTTATTTTCAAAATGTCTCCCTATCTTATGATATCATCCATAATTCTTTGTTTACCTTGGTTGAGAATTTTTTTTCTTCAAAATTTCGTTCGCTAGCTTAGCCGAAATGTTGAAGTCTCTTCGAAAACTCGTGGTAGTTCCTGAACAGCTGCTCCGCTTTTTGCATTCTCTGTTGTCAAATATCTCGGTGCGCTTTGTGCGGATGTGAATCGAGAAGTGCTAGGCGCTTTTGCAGAAAAATATTTCTTGAGTTTCTTACGGGGAAAGGGAGGATAGGGAGAAGGGTTAGAGGAGCCTAGGGTTGGTGATTGAGATAAAAAAAATCTGCGCAGTAAGTTCAAATAATCCCTATAATTTTCATGCTGAAGTGTGCAATAATTTTATTGTGAGTAAATTACTCGAAAGATTTGCATTTTATTGCATAACTATTATCACTAAAATAGTTTTGTAATTTTCAAATAAATTATGCGCGTGCCCACTCCTTCGCCCTTCATACTTTTCATTTTTGGTGTCTGGTAACATTAGCCTTGTGTTTTTTGCATTGTTTGCCTTGTAAGTCTCACTCAAGTCATCTCATGATTCTACGCTCTATCTACTTCCTGGATCTTCCTTAACAAGGAAGGAAATTCCAAGACAACAAGGAATAATAGCGCGAGCTCAGTTCAATGCAAGAAAAAAGCGTCTTATATCCATAATTGACGCAGAAAAAGCCCGGGGTCTTTCACCCCGAGTTTTTTGATTATTTTGTTGTGATATGTTCTTTGTGCTTTATCGAATGCGACGTCAGACGATGTCGTGCGCTTTTCTACACATACACACAGGGCTCGTGCCTGTACCTAGAGTGCATCCGTTCTGGAGTTTTCGCCGCGACGACGACGGCGGGCGCGAGGGGGGGGGGGGGGGCTTTGGCCACTGACGTTGTGTACTTTCACGTAGGAGGAGGTTATAGTTCTCTATTCGCACTGGCTTCATTTTAGTCTCTTCGATTAGATCCGAAATTTCTTCCTTGTTACGAAAGTAGGCTGAGGTAGGGGCGCTGTTTTCAAGTTGCTACGTCAGCAAATAAGCCTACCTAGATATTTTTGCTTGAAGGCCATGCAAATAAGGTTGAAAAAAAATTTTCCATGTAAATCTTGGCTTTGCAAGCTCAACTTTTTTGGTACTTGTTATAGGCTGAAAACGTTTCGCAAACCTGATGATTTTTGGTTGAAAAATTTTGTAATTGAAAATTTATGATAAAGCAAAATTTTACCCTGATTAAGAAAGGGTCATGAAGGGAAAAAAGGGGGAGGGGGTGTTTTGCACAGAAGTTTTGCAAATAATATATTACCTTTAATATTCCAGCCATAGGTTTCGTATGGCGTAATGGATGCAAGACAGAAAAAAATTTGTTTTAGGAGGGGAAAAGGAGAACCACAATTCTTGGCATTTCATTTGCACCCCTAGGGAAAAGAGAGTTTGTTGTATTAGAAACTTAGGAAATTTTTTACCATTTGAACAATAATCTTTACAATTTTATGCATTATAATTCCTACCCCTCTTTCCTCAAATTCATTCAAAGAATTATTTTGCTTGAATGGTCAGCAAGTCCTTGTTCACAGCCAAAAATAGTTCTTTTTTGCAGACTTTTTTATCCAGGAAATGTAGTAAACAAAAAAATTTGTTCTCCTATATTAAAATGAGAGCCTACTTAGCAGGAGTGATCTCTAGAATTTTCGCCGCGCTAACAGAGACCACAGTGATCGCTTGCGATTGTGTAAATAAATAAGGCATATCCCCCCCCCCCCACCTGTGATGTTGCCTATTGCCTTGCTCACTGCGATCACATGTTTGAAAGCTTGCCAAGTAAATACTGGTTTTTATCCTAGTTATCAGCAAACAAATTCACGAACCCCGCGCCAGTTTTCCCCTTTAAGTTCAGCCGACAAACTGCTCTTGAACTTGGGCATAGAACGACTTCACTGCACATAGTTCATAGTTTTGGCGAGGTTCCAGATGAATGATGAGGCACGTGAACGGAACTCGCTTATGTTGTTCGTACTCTTCTGCCAGACGTCTCTACACTTGCGAAATTTGTTTCTAGATGTTTTTAAGCGATTTTTAGATGCTTAGAGTGCTGCCCTCCCCAGGGTTTTGTGTAATCTTCAGCTGTACTTTCTTTACTCTAAGTAATCGATGTAGAATAGTTGCGAGGACTTGTTAGAAAAGGTGTAGCAGTTCCATTAGCTTTGGTAAAGCCATATTTCACGAATTACTTGGGAATTTATTTCCACAGGAAGGATTGGACCAAATATAGCTGGGCTTATAAGTGCTCTTTGATATTTCTTTTTTGCCCAGTTTCGGAGGTAGCAAGAAAGTAAATTAAAATAGTAATAACAAAAATAATTGGTAACATTGAAGGGTAATAAATAAATAGCAACAAAGTAAGTAGTAATAAATGAATAATAACAATTCATTTGGATTTGTCTCTTTGTGCCTTCTAGCACCTTTTTAAGTTCGCGACAATTGAAATTTTTGTGATAAATTGCTGATTTTATTAGGTTTATCAACAATGCTTGGCAGGGACTCAGCATTGTCTAAACTTCTTCCTTTTTAAGTTTTTGTTATCCTTCTTTTCCCCTATAAATATTCTCGAAAAAATTTTGAGCACAAAAATAGTGAATCCATTGCTTTAAAGTAGTGCATAATTCAATGCGCAATTTTGTACGATGCAATAAAATTTATTTTGTGAAGTTTTATTTTTGCATCAGCTGATGTTATTACTCAATAGTCTCAGTGGCTGTTTTTGAAAAACATTCATACCTCGACGCACTGGGTTTTGTTTATCGAAATTCTCGCTGCGTCAGGATTTCTCACCAGTAACCTGATTATATGATTATTATATGATGTGATGCGTCATTCTCGAGACTGTCTTCCATTTCTTCCTCTATACGCGAATATGCACAATTTTGCGGGTGTTCTATTATCGTTGGAGCTATACCGAAATTTTAATACGTACAAGTGTACTTTTTTTTGGAATTGCGTTTTATAGTTATTATAAGCTCTTCCTACCCCCGCTCGACGCTAACGTAACTCTCCACAATTAATATATAATTTTCTTTTTAAGTGAGATTTTTTTCAGTGGTCAAATGTGGCCATCGGCTGGTCCGATGCTACAAAGCCCAACGTATCCTACTGGTCCAACCCCGACCGCTATGATGCAGCCAATGCCCGGCTATGGTGTGTTTATCTTCTTGGAATGTACGATAATTATACTATAAGGTTACTGTATATCAGGGATGCAACCTTCACCGTATCCCATGGATCCGGCTGGCGCACGTCCGCAACAGTATCCGTCAATGTCGGAACAAAACACTGGAATGTATGACCAGGTAATTTTGAAGGTTTAATTTTACTGAAATAAATTTATTTTGTAAGGTCGATCATTGAAAAATTCAAGTGGTGATATTATATTAATGTACTGACAAAGAATTTAACTTTTATATTGCTGGGGTGTGTCCAACGATTAATACGTCTTTGCCAAAAAAAAAAGACAATTTTTGAAAGACTTGTCAAATCAGAAGATAAAATCTTTTTGCTCATACTGCTATTGAATCTGAAATTTCTCTTATGAAATCAATTGTGGATCGTAATTTATTTTTGTGATTCAACAAAAAACTGGCCATAGTGCAACTTGTCTTTAGGGGTATGGTTTTTTGTAGGCCTCTGAAAAAATGAACATTATTTTTTTGCAAAAATTCCAATCACAACTTATGTTTATGTTTATAGAACATGGCATACAATCAACAGCAGCAAAGAATGATGATGATGCATCAACAACAACAAATGCAGCAGGTATGTGTTTACTTTACTTCCAGCTTACCCCGTAATGTCTCCTAGCTCCTTCTCTTGCTCTCAGGCTTTTTTTGTTTTTTGTTTTTTTGGGAAGTTTTCACGCGCATATTCCAATAATTGTTTCGGAGTGATGTCGATACCTACTGTTAACATCCGCATAGCACTGATCCACTGCTTTTTGAAGTTTTGGCGCCCACCTGGATGCCTAGAATGGCATCAAATTATGGTTTTTGAACCTCTAAGCCGCTGTTATTAGTTCTTACACATCACTTCCATACGGGAATAGCTTTGCAAGCGCATAGATCAAAATGGGAGGGGGGGGGGGGGAGTGTCGGCTTCATCATCTCTCTAGTCAGTTCACTAGGTATCCAACGATTTTTTTGGTGTGGGTTTTGCCGAAATTCATCTGTCATTTTTTCGCTGGTTTGAATCTGACGCTTTTTTCCGGTTTTTTCCCTCTGCTTTTGCACTTTAATAAACTTCATGAAAATATTAATCATTATTATTGAGGTGCATCAAAAAATAGTGAGTATACCATAAATTAGTGAGTCTATCAAAATTAATTGAACACATTGCAGAGAAAGCGTAATAAACAAGAGAATTTTCAAATTATTTCTGACTCAATGAAAAACATCCTAAGACAAAAACCTCATATCTTTTAGGAAGAGTATAGTCACGAGCTTACTCAAAGCTTTGATATTTGTTGCTTTGCATATTTTTAGTAACTTAATTTTCATAATATCCATATTATGGCTATACGTACGCATCAGACCGTGATGGTATATTTTTCCCTAGGAGCTTAAGCATCTTCACGTAATTCTACAGACTGTTTTCCGATTATTCTCCCGTGTATTCCTAATATTTTTACTGATGTCTGTGCAAAAACTTCGTAGACGTAATGTTCATCGTGTGTGTTTATCTGGCTTGCCGCGAAAACACATCTATAGCTCTTTTTTTGTTGTTGATAGTGATAGGCGGGCGCCGCACACATGCGAAGGGGGGGGGGGCATTCGCAACTCGTCCACAAGCGTCTGACATTCTCTATAGGGAAGTAGTTTGTCGTAGATGTTTATCGTCAAGTTGAAGACGTTGTCGGAATAGTTTGGGGGGGGGGGGGGTTAAGTGGCGTTTGTGGCTGTGAATTTGAGGTAGATCGTAAGTTTTGGAATTAGATGGGCTTAGGGGCAGCAAAGATCACCGTAATCCTTACTTTTTTGCCCAAATCCCCTTTTTTCGAGCTTATCGATAGTCTTTGACTCAGTCTTAGCGGCCTCTGGATCTACAAGCTCCTTTTGCACCCCCCTCAATCAGGCTAAAACTCTAATCTCGATCACTTTTAGGCTCAAGCTCAAGCTCAAGCCCGAGCTGCTCGCCGAGTTCCCAACATGCCAATGCCGCAACAACCCGGACAACCATTCGATCCAATGTATCAAGGAGTCCCAATGGGTGTCAATAAGTGGGTAACTGCGGTCAATGCTGGAATCCTTGAAATGAATCTCTATCCCTATAGTGTACCCGGACAAACCCAGCCATTGATGCGCTACCCACAAGGCACGATGACATCCCCATCCTACCCAATGCCTGCTGGTGGGCGGCCCAACGGCATGATGCCATCGCCAGGATATCCTCAAATGGTTGGTTCGAGTCTTAAGGAACTGCTTAAATCTGATATTGCTTAGATTTAGATGCAATACAATAGCGAGGCTCTAATCAAGTAACTGCACAAGTCCCGCTAAAAAAGGAATATTCTGAAGCGAGAAAATCGCTCCCTAAGTAGGATATTGTTGGGGTCGCCACGCCCATCAAATGGGTAGTCTGATAGTAATAAGGCCGAAACTTGAGCCCATAGTACTTTAAAGTCGAAGATCTGTTTTTGACAATGAAAGCGTATTCTTGACATTCCTACGTATTGATGAGTTCAGTTTCGTGCCTTTGACTTTAGACCACCCACGTTGATGGGCGTGGCGAACCAAGCAGGATCCTCGTTCTAAAGAGATTTTCTCGGTTCGGAATTCACATTTTTCAGCGGGACTTGGGCAATTGTTTGAAGGGACCTTGTTATTGTACTCGAAATCTCACCGAGCTCAGATTTGAGTGTTATTGCTTGCAAAGCCTTTCTTCCCATCCTCGCTAAAATTGGCAACATTCCAGTATCGTGCTGGTGCTCCCGTTCTTTATGGACAAGTACAACAACATGCCCAACATCAACAGGTTCGTACCATTTTGTCCGAAAATTTAGCACTTGGGCTATCTGGATGAATTTTTTAGGTCGTCTCGTACCCAAATCCTAATGCCCCACCTGACGGACGGTACAACGTCCCCTACAACAACGACATGCCACCCGTTATCCTACCAAAAGAGGTTGGTCCCATTCTTCGTATACCTTTACAATAAATTTACAAATCAAATTTTAGGTGATCATGCGGCCGTTCGGACTTGAACACAACATGAATCATCACACTTACACCTTTAACCTCCGATCTGAAATCATACAACAATTACAATCGTAAGTTCTTTTTTAGGTTAAAGGTTCACTCATGGTAATGCATTTTTTAGGCCTTTCATTGACATTCAACTGAAGAGTTTCCACAAAGATGACAAGAAAATGGCCACACAATGGCCTCCAAAACAATCGCCAAATGGTCAATCTATGCCCGGTGCTCCTCCAGAGTGCAGCATTCAGGTAAAATAAATTACAAGTTTTTTCTCATTGCTCGAAAAAGCGATCGCAATTTTTTTAGCACTCATTTTTTTTTGTAAAATATGCTTTTTCCAGGTGCTTATTAACGGTCAAATGGTGCCAATCTCCGATCTAAGCCGTTCGATTTTCATCAAACAAATTGCCGTACCCGGACCTAACACCATCGAGTTCAATGTGAACCAGTGTGTTTGTGTAAGTAGAAGTTTCCCCCATTTGGGGATTTCGGGTGTTCTTAAGCTCCCAATGAATTTTTTTACAGTCACACTCGTTCATTATGCAATTGGTCGTTCGACAACCGTTATCCAAGGTTACACAGGATATTTTCAGTCGTACACAGGGTTGTACACCTGAATATTGTCGCGAGAAAAGTAAGTTTTGTTTTTTTGGAAAAGAGAATCTGGGACAGCCCCGCCCCTTGCTGGAATTTGGGAAGTCTCCGCTCCTTTAGCAGAGAATCTGGGACGTCTCTGCCCCTTTCTAGAAAATCTGGGACGCTTTCTTCCCTTGTTAGAGATTCTGAGACATTTCCATCACTTTCCAGAGAACGTGGGACTTCCCCTCCCCTTGTCAGAAAATCTGAGACGTCACTCCCTCCCCCCTGCCCTTGCTCCTTCACTACTTCTCTTACCCTTACTATAAGATCGAATTCCACTCTACTCCCTAAACAATCGTGAAATCTCCGCGCACATTTGCTCACTAGCAGACCAAAAATTACCCCGTACGGCGCTTGCGCCCCGTGCTCGTCGCGCAATCTCCCCCTCAGCCCCGTCACAATCACCCCCCCCCCCCCCGCCCTTCCCCCGTCGCGTCATCATCGCTGCGATCGTTGACTCGTCCTGGCCTCAACCTTCACGAACAACATGCTTATCGTTTAGTGCTGAAACTCACTCCGCCGACTGGACTACGAGTGCCGCTCGTCTGTGAAATCACACATCGCCGAATGTCGATCCCGGCACGATCTGTACGATGCGTGCATGCTGCCTGTTTCGATCTGGAGCCGTTCATCATGCAACAAAATGAGAACTCACTGTATGAGTGCCATCTCTGCAAGTGAGTATAGTTTTCGACGCAATTTTGCAGAATGTTCTTCAAAGGAAGAGAAGAATGCATAGATGATGTAAAATATACAAATATACATTTTTGCTCACTGCTAGATGTTTATAAGCGTAAAAATAGTAATCGGTGGTGTAACTAAGAATTCTCGTGTCATTTGTAGCACAGTATGTGTATTGCACAATCCGCGCGTTATTTCACGCCTCAGGCGCTTAGATGCAATTTTCTAAAAATTTTCTCCTGGTTTTCTGTTGATTTATTGTCGTAGAAAACAGTTGTGAGTGAATATGTAGGCTCCAATTAAAAGGTTCAAAGACTGTGCAAGTAGACGACGTAAAGTATGGTGTGTGATGTGCATTTTCACACATCAAATTGAAATATTTCCACTAGAGATGTTGCAGTCCAAATTTGAACAAACAGTTGTAAACTTTGGAAAAATTGCTTTCAATCTTGCCCCTATTTTTTTCTTGGGATTTATCTGTCATAACAAAAACAAAATATACGTAATCAGTTCTTAGAAAACTGAAGCACGTGTTTTTCATTTCTGAACTTTCTAAGATCATCCATCGACTAATCGGCAGTGTTTGTAATCTCATACATGAGGATTAGGGGCGGGTAATCGGCGCAGACACTTTAAGAACATATCAGTTTTCTATTACGATACCTTCTCTTCAGCGATTGTAGTTGTGGTTTTTGGAAATTTATCTGCAATTTTTCTGGAATTTAGTTGTGAATTTTTTCAGATCTTACGATCTTAAAAGACTGATCAAATAACTCTTGTAGTCAATTTTTGCGCGAGTAGTTTTGTTTGAAAATCGTAAAAATCACTTGGAGACTTTTCTGAGCAGCTGCTTTTTTAAGCTTTGAACTGTAACTTTTTTATGGATCTTATTCCATTTTCTTCCATTTTAGGACAATCTTCCAACTGGGCGAAATCGAACTCGACTACTTCGTTGGAAAAATGCTTCGTGAAACTACGGGCACTCAAGCTGTGGAGATGTTGCTTGAGCCGAACGGCGAGTATAGGCCTGTCGAACCAGAACTGGGTTCAAGGAAGAGGCCAAATGATGAGAATGGTACGTAAATTTTATTTCTCGGGCCCAGTTTTCGTCTACCATTGAAATCTGATGTATAGTAGCTGGTCCAGAAAATCGTAAAGATTCTTCAAGGGAACCAGGTCATGTTTGTTTTCCCAAAAATGTCATGTCGCCTGTCATTGTTATCGAATTATGGCCGGCGATGATATCGAGGAAGTACGTGTCTGTAGAAAAACAAATTCTCCTGACTGTTTGACTATAAAGGAAAGGCCTAGTTCATGCGCCATAGCATTCTTTTGGGAGATGCAAGGGCTCGAGATTGCGTCATTTCCCCCGGAAGTCCTGGACAAAAACTGGACAAATAGGCATAGCTTTTTTGGGAAAATTTCGTTTTAAATGTTGCCTATGTTTGTCCCATATATCATAGATGAGACAACAATCGGGTGGTCGGTTGGTCGGTCGAACACAACTCGTTTACGAGCTTTCCGGTACGCGTACTACTACCCCACACCGAAAGTTTACGACGTATCGGAACGCATTGAACGATCGTCAGCGTGTCCTCAATGCAGTTTGAGATTCTTTGAGGGATTCTCTTTGGAAAAATGTCAAAGTTTCAATTAGGTTAAACTCATTATGGCTACAGAACTTGCTGATATTTTACAAAATTAAACAACAAATTTTTTTTCATTGGAGAAGGAATGGTTGGATGATTTGCTTACCTTGACTTTGCTGGAAAAAGAGGGCTGACAAATTATGGATTAACACATTACTGTTTAACTATCACGCTTGAACTCACTATTGTTCGATAGATCTGGAAATGAATTTGCTAGAATTTTACATGAAATATTCAACAAAATCATTCATGGAAAAAGTTTTGACTTCGATTAGGTTTTTTATTTTTGATGTAAAAATGGAAGATTACAGTTTTTAGCTTGAGTGTCTTTTTCTGTATTTTGGACCATTTTGCATTTTGCATTTTTTGCTGTAAATTTGAGAAATGGTGGGAGAATTTTTCAATCTCTATTTCGATGGTTATAACCTTATGTTCAGTCCACATTACTATCTTCAGTTTTTTTTATTCAAATGGGTTTTTTAACAAATTTGACCCTGGTGACAATTTGCTTGCTCTTTAGATTATTTGAATTCTGTTACTGCTGGCTCATGGTCACTTGGCATTTCCTCACCCCTCTAAACTTATGCTAATGTTCCGGTATCTTTTCACTCTGACCTAACCACAGTCCAAGTTTTTTTTTCTTATAATTTTTGAACAGATGATACTTGAAGACGTTTACTTATGCTGCAGAATAGGAATTCTTAATGATTGCACAATGTGGAAGTGATTATTTAAATGGCAGAGCTGCTGAAGGGGTAATCTCAACGAAAGTAATTTTTACTGTAAAAAGAGAGCCTTCACTCAGTTGCAAGGGGTATTGTAGATATTTCAGTTCTGGTATGAACTCGCGATTTTTTTAAGGTTTTCCCCGAGATTCCAAGTCCCTACTGATGATGAGATTTTCTCTCCCAAGAACAATCCCAGTCCCCAGTTCCTCATTGACTCATAATTTTACAAGCAACCAGTCAGGTACATTCAGCTTCCTCCATGACGAGCCTTCGGCTGTCGTAGCGCAATCGCCCAAACATGTTTTCACTACTACTACTACTAGGAAGGGGGGGGAACACATGTAGAGGAGGGGAATAACACAGACGGGCATAGAGAGCGCATTAAGCTAGCTAGACACACGGCGGTTTTTTGACATCAACATCCAGTCGCGTCGATGGCCAGGGGATTACACACATCTTCTGCTGCTGCTGCTGTGTGTATGTTTATGTATGGGTTATAGTCAGACAGGAATTTGCTCGGGGAGTTTTGCTAGGTTAGGGTAGCAAAAAGGTAGTAGCAGGAGTTCTTGGAAAGTACGGCAAGGTTACGGTAGCAGCCAGGCAATAGCATGGATTCTCTTGGAAGTTTTTGCAAATTACGGTAGCATCAAGGCAAGGCAGTAGGAGGATTTTCTTGGAAAATTGCCAGTTTACGGTAACAACATGGTAGTAGCGAAATCATTACGATATTGGAATTTGCAAAATCATGACGAGTTTCGATAATCCTCCAGGAAAAACAACAAGCTGCGGTCTAAAATAACACTTGATATATCAAGATTAAGGTAAACAGTTCTTGCCGGGATCCAGCAACGCAGACTATAATTTCGTTTAGATTCTTAGGAAACTAGCTAGCTTTAGTTTGCAGCAGAGCTAAAGCTTGTTTTGCAGTTAATCGTAGAAATGCCATGTTTACCATCTTTGGAAGTTTTTTGCAGAGCTCTTGTTGTGTTAGAGATCCATTAAATATGGGAGAATGTAGTGCCTATCCCTCAAAATAGGGGATCTTGTTTTTCATCAAGAATCTAGTTTAATAGCTGAATAACTTGTTCAGTACCGTAATTTCTTTCTTTCCAGGACCTATCCATCCCATCAAGAGAATCAAGAGTGAACCATTCCCATCAGTTGGTGCTGTGCCATCAGTGATGTCACCGTTCCCTCCTCCACCAGGCTCGGCTCCCATGGGAACCGCCGTTGCACCATCTATGATGAGTCCTTTCGCTGGCAGCCAGAGGTATTTGATTTCTTCTGCCTTTGATATCTCTGAAGGAGAAATATTTATCTTTCCAGTCCTTCCAAAGCAGTGTCGTCACCAGCAGGAGCCCGTTTTGTCGGTGGTCCTGGGACACCGGCGACACCACATGCCCCACAAAATATGACCACTGATGGTGTTATACCCACGGCTACCTCATTGCCGTCCGAACCGCTTCATAGCACTAGTCCACATCAGACGCAAATCCAACAACATGGAAGCGTTGAAGCGCCATCGTTGACTGGTCAGTTTTTAGCTTTTCAGAGCTTTCTGCAGTGTTTAGAAATTATCATTTCAGGATCTGCTCCCTATACGCCAGCTTCGGTGAACTCTGGGGTTGCCCTGCCGGCGGTGAATCCGGCTGATCAATCATTCGGCAACATCCAGAACTTGTCCCTTTCAAATCTTGACATCGAAATCGACGGCAAGAGCTTGTTCAATTCGGTAAGTTTGACGAAATCTTTGCTGGCGTATTCTATATGATTATTAAGCCGCTTGATTTCAGACGATTATGACTGCTGACGATATCAAGAAATACCTGAATGACAGTGATACTGTATTCACGGCGTTCGATGACCTCACATGCACTGTAAGTTTCATAAATTTTTGCAAAAACCTTTCTGGAATTCTAAGTTAATACGATATGCTCACCATGCTCCGTCTAAATAGTAGTAATCGTGGCTTTGCTTTCTTACAATATACCTACTGCAATTTTACAGTAATCATCAATAAATTACGGTGTTTCTAGAAATCTGAATACAGTTCTGTATAAGCCTTCTCTTTCAAAAAGATACATCTTGTAAGACTTACGATATTTGTAGTTACCATGCTCAATCTAAAAGCTACATTATGATCATGCTCCTCTGCAATGGGCCTACCGTATTCTACCGTATCCATTCGTGAATCATGGGATTACGGCAGATCTAACCTAATGTATGATCAATTACAAACTTCACCTCTCAAAAAGCTTCCGTATTAGCCCAATATGACATTCATAATTACCTTTGTCTGAATAGTCAAAGCTCAATTGCTTTGCTTTCCTACAGTAGCCTACCGTAATCCTACCGTTAACCAATGGTGAATTATGGGATCAAGGCACGAACATCGAAAAAATTTCATTTTTCAAACCTAGTATGATAGTTGTAATTAGCATGATCAGCTGAGCTGTCAAAAATCAACCATGGTTTTGCTTCTTTACAGTGCCCCTACCGTCCTACCTTGCCCAATTATTGATTTTTTCGTAATTTTGTATAATTTATTTTTTTCCAGAACGATACGCCAACAATCGGTGGTTTTCCTCACTGTTGGGAAGATATTCAGTCAATCATAGCTGCTGACGAGAAACGGGGTTAACTTGCCCCCAGTAATACTGTAGCTGCTCGTCAACTCCCCCTTAATCGATAATCTCATCGGATCTACTCGATCGATAATCGATCGCACAAATCATCGCTGCTTTCGCTTTTGTGTTGTGATTTCGTTGTGTGTGGCGCATCTCTTGTCATGTATTTATATGAGATATTGAAGATTATGTTATCTATACTCTATATATCTATCCATGCATGTGTTCCCTATCATTCTAATCAATATATCGATTAACGCGTTGATTTGTTCATTGGATAATATCGATAGGCCGAAATTACGGTAGATTGTAGCTCACATAGTGCGTATAATGCTACTACCCATTTAAATATTTACAGTAAATAATTCTATGGGTAAGTATAATGTTATAGAACCTGCTAATTCACTCAACGACTAACTTTAATGTTTTTAGTAAGTATAAATGGTAAAGTAAGTAAGTAAGTAGTAATTTTAGTTAAGTTTAAGCTCTTTTACAATGATGATCTGCTGCGCCCCTTCATTTTTCTTTTTCTTTCTTTATTTTTGAGGAATCGAATGTGCTTTTTGTTCGGCTGGCCTGTTGACTGGTCGTAGTGTGGCTTTTTCATTAATCACTGTATCTCCCGACCGAAAACACCCATGTTGCGTGTTTTCGATTGTCGTCGACGTATTTTCACACAAAGTATTATCATCCTCAAGCATTTTTTCTCTCATTGTACCCGTGTTTTCAATCATTTTTTCTCTCCATATTTCATCTAGTGCTTTAGTGTGCATTGCGTGATTTTCATACTCTTCCACACAGGACCCAATTCCCCACTACGATACTCTCTCCAATATCTTTCCGCAACTCATCACAACCACTGCGTTCAAACCCGTACTATGTTCGCCCTCAAATACCAGTGAATCCTGTGCTATAACTCTCGTTATCTGATGGTTTGATTTTTTTTTGTAGATGTGCCCAAAGTTTAGTGCTACGCCTACACATTTACGTAATAATTCCACTTCCATTGGTCGTTCTAATCACACTTTTTTGGTCAAAGGCATTTTTTTGCCTTGTACATACAGTTATATACATATTCTATATATATACATGCAAGTTTGTGTTATGTATTTCAAATGAATAAATCTCAAAAATTTATGTGGTTGTAGACATTGTATTACTGCAAATTACTGCATGAGACAAGAAACAAAATTGTCTCTGAAAACAGAAACCCGAGAATTTGTAAAAATGAGAATGAAATCAATATATTGATCAATGGTCTACAGCCAGGCACGGGTCGGTGTCTTGCAAATTGGAAAATAGCGGTCCTTCAAATTTTTCTTTGGAAAGGCGAGGAAATTTCCTATATCTAGCACTTTCTCCGAACATTCTGGAATGATTCTCAAAAATCTTGCAAGCTTGCAACTTCGAAAATTTGGAAGAATGGACATAGTGGCAGGTTCTCGATGGAATTCGTTGAGCTTTATATCATTATGAAGTTGATGAGAATTTGTAATTTATTAACTTGCAGAAAGCAAGTCAACAACCTACTTTCTTAAACTGCTTTCTGAGATAAAATGCCTTTCGTTCCCTTCTGCAAGAAGAGAAGGAAGGGTGCGTAATGTTTTCGATTTCTTTTTTTTGTAGAATTCATCCTGCGTGGCGTAAATGGCAATAGAATGTGTAAGTCTGAAAGTTGCAATTTACACGGTCATTACAGTTTCTTTTTAGTGAATTGTATCCAAAAGTTTATAAAATGCACTCATGTTCCAAAGGACTCTTCGAAACATCATGAAAAAGTTTTCCGAGATCAGCGGTTGGTAGTACTAGACTCTCCATGGAAAAACTTAAGTAGAGATTGAAAATGTTCGGTATCTCTGAGATATTCGGCCAGCAGTTCTCCCCACATTAGAAAAAAAATCGTAGGTAGAGAATAAATTGCTCCGGAATTGTGGTCAGTGTTTGACCAACACTTTTCTCAGGCTTTCACGCAATCTTAAAGCCTACCGATACGGAATGTTTTCTTCAGGCTGCACTTGCTGAAAATTTGACTCGACTCGTTATAGTTGTAGCTTGTAGTCTCTATCTGTGCACTTATTTTTTGCATATCTGCCCCTGAGCCGTCTGTCTGACGTCGACAAAGGGCTCACTTTTTGTGGCCAAATTTTGACAAGTTGGTAATCCGAAGCGACTGCCTTTGTAGTATTATATAATAGACTAGTTGGCTTCCCCGGTCCAGCCCGGGGTATTTTTATCACAGATGAGGTAGATGGTGCGGTTGCCAGCAAAACTACCGCACTGCAACCCCCCCCCCGTTTTTTCATACGAATGACCTACCTTGCGGCGTCCATTTCGGTTCACTGCATCCTCGTGATCCTGAGGTAGAAATGAACTTCACCGCTCTCCTTTACATGACAATGAGAAAATGCTTGGTCAAACATGATAAGCCTTCCATTCCTTAGAAAAACGTAAACAAATCAATAAATCGATAGAAGGACCCAACGAATCGCCGCAAAAAGTAGCCTATCATCTGCGCAGGGGTCGAAAACCGTATGTGTGCAAAGTTTCAGCTGAATCGGTTGAGCGGCGCGCGTTTCTATAACGCACATAGCCTTCAAACTCACATTTTTGAGTTATATATATATATATATATATATATATCAGTGGCGTACCGAGGGGGGGGGGGGGGCGGGGGGGGCGCGCGCCCCCCCCGAGAACGGGTCGCGAAATTTTTGAAAGTTACTTACATGGGTTATAAAAATGTGCAAGTGACTTGTTTTTACTTGTAAATAATTAAAATAATTTTTAAAATTTTTTAAAAATTCATTTTAGCCTTATAAAAAAATTTTTTTCGGGGGCGTGGCTGACGCCACGCCCCCTTTTTCCAGATTTTAGGGGTCGGGGACCCGGAAAAATTTTGAGAAGCACCCCAAAAATTTTTTCGGAGTGCGTGGCTAACGCCACGCACCTTCTTTAGAAAAAAATTTTTGTCGCGCCCCCCCCGAGCCGAAATCCTGGGTACGCCACTGATATATATATATATATATATATATATATATATATATATATATATATATATATATATATATATATATATATATATATATATATATATATATATATATATATATATATATATATATATATATATATATATATATATATATATATATATATATATATATATATATATATATATATATATATATATATATATATATATATATATATATATATATATATATATATATATATATATATATATATATATATATATATATATATATATATATAGATAATGATGTTTGTATAAAAACCAAAATATGTAGATCGCTATTGTTACATTCTCATGTACAAAATAAATACAGAGTGTCCGTAAAGTATACACTGTTTAATCGTTAATATCCTTCTTCCAACAAGTCTTTCGCCTTGATTCAGAACCGTTTTGTAGAGCTGGCTTCAACTTAGATTTACAGTATGGAGGGAATCACCGATCGCTCTTCATTACTGTAAGATTGCGATAGAAACTTGAAACATATGGTGTCAATGTGGAAAAAGCTGCCGTCTCAAAATTTTCAAGAAAAATGTGGAAACTTGTGTGTTAAGGTTTTTATAGACGCTGAGTTCAATACTCAACTATTCACAAGATTGCGAAGCTTTCTAAACAGTGTAACCGCACTTTTTAGGAACATTGAAAAAATGGCCGCTACCTCTTACCCGGCATAACTCTTCAATGAAGCACCATAATAAGTTGGAAGCTTTAAAGTTAGAATCAACAACTCTAATTAGCCTAGTGTAAAAGCTTTCGGGCTGTTTTGTTTCCTTTCTGAAACAAAAAATGGCCTTTCATGGCTCAAAACCCTCTTTGAAGTTTCTGCCGTAATCCTACAGTAATGAAGAGAGATGGGTGCGTTCTATACTGCAAATCTAAGTTGAAGCCAGCACTACAAAACGATACCTAAAGCAAGGCAAAAGACTTGTTGGGAAGAAAGATATTAACGATCAAACAGTGCTACATACTTTACGGACACCCTGTATTCTGAAAAAATTTCCTCGAAGGTGCGTAAGATCTCGGTGACCATCATCATTTGTGCGTTTAACATCCATTACGTTACTGTCTTTAAGATGGATAACCATTTTCAGTGCTTTAGTTTGAGCCTTAGCATGATGTTTACCGAACTTACTTTCTTTTCTTGTTTAGGAAGGTAGATGAACAAACGCTTTTTCGTAGAAGCCATTATGTTAGAAACTGATTACTTCCAAACACAGTGTTCAAACCCTAGTCACGGAAGGATCGTCGATTTTTTCATTGTTCCACTCTGAACAATTGAAAGGAGAAATTATAGGGTGACCGAAAAGTATGGAAGTTACATTTACTAACGTAAATCTGTCATCAAACATCAAATCCTGATTTTATTATGTCCCCGTCACAAACAGAGCTTGAGTATTGATATTTAAAGAAATTGTTCGAAATGGCTTCCTCTGACCCTGCAGGTCCGGAGCCTTGTCTTCACTGAAGCGACCGTACGGCGCAGATAATCAGTATCAATTTTAGTCTAGGCACCTTCCATTTCGTTGCGCAGACACTCCAAACTTGTGGTATTCTTCTCCTTCATACTGTTCTCTCGCACACTCGACGCGGAGAAGCCCATGGGGTTCAAGTCAGGACTTTGGACGGCCAAAGATCCTTGGGCAGGTATTCATCTAAGTTGGCTGAAATATACCTTAACGTCGAAATCGCCGAATGCTCCGGTGCCCGTCTTCCTGGAATATCATTTGTAGATGACTTCTTTTCCAAGGAAGGACGTACTTTTCTAAAACTTCTTCTTGGTACACAGTGGCGTTGATGTTGACATTCGGCGAAAACAAGCGGCGCCTTACCATTCTCCGAGATTTCGGCCCAGACCGGGAGAAGAAGTGACTTTTTAGTAATTTTCGTTTTCATGACTGTTTATTCTTCGGACTAGTTAGCTGACGGTCATTCTGAGGATTGCGATACCCTTCGATGGTAAAAATTTTTTCATCCGGAAACAAAACATTCTCAAAGCGGCGCACCTCGAAAAGTTCCAACAACTTCCTGCATTTTTCCAAACAACTCACTCTTGCTGCTCAGCTCAGTTGATGTCCAGTGAGCATCCGGTAGCTCCGAAGTCCCAGTTTATCCTTCGCCATAGCTTGGACCGACGAACGTGCTATGTTCAGGCTTTCGCTATGCCGTTCAGGCTGACTTCGTCGTTCCCAAATCCTTTTTCTGGTAATTCCTCAATTCTCCTTGTGATCAACGTTCGCAGACGGCCAATTTTCGGCTTTAGAGCAGCATTTCCTTCTTCTTTCCACTTTTTGATAATTTTCTGCACCTTATTTAAAGGCGTGTCTAGCTTCCTTGCAATAGCTGCCGCGGACTCGCCGTGTTCACTAATCGGGCAATGATTTCGCGGTGAGGGTACGCGTTCATAGTTTCTGGGTAATTAGAAGACCGTTTGTTACAAACTGTGAAGCCAAAACAATTTTATTTGCGCCAACTATCAAACGATGGGACACGATCATACATGGCGCCCATCTGTTTTGCTTTTTGTTGGACTTGAGCTTTTCAATCGTGCACAAGTATGAATTATCTTGTGAATTTAGTAATTCCAGTCTACTATGATGGAAGACTTCCGAACATCAACTCAATTGATTTCAGTGTGTGTGTGTGTGTGTGTGTGTGTGTGTGTGTGTGTGTGTGTGTGTGTGTGTGTGTGTGTGTGTGTGTGTGTGTGTGTGTGTGTGTGTGTGTGTGTGTGTGTGTGTGTGTGTGTGTGTGTGTGTGTGTGTGTGTGTGTGTGTGTGTGTGTGTGTGTGTGTGTGTGTGTGTGTGTGTGTGTGTGTGTGTGTGTGTGTGTGTGTGTGTGTGTGTGTGTGTGTGTGTGTGTGTGTGTGTGTGTGTGTGTGTGTGTGTGTGTGTGTGTGTGTGTGTGTGTGTGTGTGTGTGTGTGTGTGTGTGTGTGTGTGTGTGTGTGTGTGTGTGTGTGTGTGTGTGTGTGTGTGTGTGTGTGTTATACTTCTTTCTGAACTGATGCGTCCAAGGCTTGAGGTGTTAGGTTGATGGTTACCGAAAAATCCAACCAGTACCATCTCTT